GTGGCGGCAGCGGACGTCTCGACTGACAGTGGTCAGTCGGCTGCCTCCGGGTATCGGGTCTAAGGGATTTTATTCCTCCTGCATGCTCCTGCTGCCTGTTGCTTGATTGCTTGACCCTTAGGCTGCTTGTCTGCGCGGCTTCGCGCTTGGGCTGGCGGTGCCGCGTCTGGTTGCCAGCAGTGCTGGTTCTTTTCGGGCTTGTGTTTTGTGTGTGATTGTGCAGCTTCTCGCTGTGCGCTGTGTGCCAGGAGGTTTAGCTTGTTCCACTGTCCCTCTTTAGCTTGTTCCTGCTTTGTTTTGCTTGAGGCACTTTTTACCTTCTGCCAGTAAATCCGTCCCCGTCGAGGATCCCCGACTGTATCGATGACGCTTTGAAGACCAGCTTCGTTCAGCATTGACCGAATCGTACGAGTAAGGTTGTCATGCGCCGTGGGAGGATCGGCGTTTGCAGGTCTGGAGATGATGTGCAGCAACGGAGGGATCGAGCTCGCGCTGACATCCATCACATTCCGTCGGACACTGGCAGATCGGAGATAGCAGTCGAGCATCTGAGCATAGCGGTGCGGGAAGTGGCACACAGCGCACAGCGAGAAGCTGCACAATCACACACAAAACACAAGCCCGAAAAGAACCAGCACTGCTGGCACCCAGACGCGGCAGCGCCAGCCCAAGCGCGAAGCCGCGCAAGGGGGGGTAGTAGCTCGAGACTCGCATCGGAGAGTGGCTCAGGTCTCGCTCAGGAAAATGAGCAAAGATGGTAGACTGCAAGACCCTATCCTGCGACTTGAGCGAGTCCTGGGTCGGATGCGAGTATGTCCTTCGGCTGTGCAAGGTGAGGATATCACGCTGCTGATCGGTCAGCGCAGCGCGAGCATGCACATGGCGAGGGAAGACGCGCATGACAAGAGGAGTCACATTGCGCTGCGCAGGCGGAGGAATGAAGTGCTCATGAGACGAGTCGACGAGAGAGCGCAAACCAGGGATGTGTACCACAGAGTGTCGGCTGCTTTGTTTTGCTTGAGGCACTTTTTACCTTCTGCCGGCTGCCCTTTCTCCGTCCGCGGCCACCCGCTTTGTGGCGGCAGCGGACGTCTCGACTGACAGTGGTCAGTCGGCTGCCTCCGGGTATCGGGTCTAAGGGATTTTATTCCTCCTGCATGCTCCTGCTGCTTGTTGCTTGATTGCTTGACCCTTAGGCTGCAACTCGGTACGGTCTGCGCGCTTCGCG